TTAGGGAAGGAGGGATAGCTCAGTGGTTTGAGCAGTGGCCTGCTAAACCCAGAGTTGTGAGTTCAATCCTTGAGGGGGCCACTTAGGAATCTGGGGCAAAATCAGTACTTGGTCCTGCTGGGCTGGAGTTGATGACCTTTCGGGGTCCCTTCCAGCTCTATGAGATAGTCCATATTCTAATAATTAAAAAAAAGGGGTATGGGGGAGGGGTGTGAGGGCTCTGGCTGGGGATGAGGGACTTGGGGTACAAGAGGGGGCTCTGGGCTGGGATTGAGGGGTTTGGAGGGCAGGAGGGGGATCAGGATTGGGGCATGGGGGGGGCTGAAGGGTGCAGGCTCCGGGCAGTGCTTACCACAAGCAGCTCCCGGAAGCATGTCCCCCCTTCGGCCCAGCCACGTGGCTCTGCCCCCTGTCCTGTCCACAGACGCCACCCCTGAAGCTCCCATTGGCCAGGAACCACGGCCTGTGGGGGCGGCGCCTGCGGATGGGGCAGCGCACAGAGCCGCCTGGCCACACCTCCATGTACTATGTAGGAGCCGGAGGGCAGTCATGCCGGCTGCTTCCTGGGAGCCGCACGGAGAGGTGCAAATCCCCAACCCTGCTCCCTGGCAGGAGCTGAGGGCCAAATTAAATGGTCTGACAGATGTGGCCCGCGGGCCATAGTTTACCCACCTGATCTAGAACTTGCTTTATGTGTGAGAACAATTTGCCTGTAGCATCATGTCACATCCCCACTCTGGTCTATTAATAAAAATACATCAAACCCGGCAGCTGGCCTGCAGTGTGTGTGTGTCCGCAGCCTGCGTGATGCCTTCTGTTGGCTGCCTCTCGAGGGAGCGGACTGGTTTAATCCAGCCAGATGAGCCCAACCCAGGTCACGTCACACGGCTCTTCTGGATACGAGTACAAGCCCTGGTCAGAGGTGACTTGGGCGTCCCCTGTCCCTCCCCCTACTGAGCTAGCCCCCCTCCCATCTGCCCATGCGCTGGAGTGGCTTGTAGAGGCAGGAGAAGGTGCCAGTGAAAGCACCGCGGGGGTTACTGTACCTTCCGCCTCCTGCTCCTCTCCAGCCTGTGCTGACTCCAGTCAGCTCCCGCACACATCGGTGGAGCAGGCGTAGCCAGGTCCAAGGGACTCTGCCTAATACCACCCCCCCTGACTGTGGCTCTAGAGCTGTGATACTCACAATACCCCCATCAACACATTGCACCCTGGATGGTCAAGTGATCTGGGCCTGCACTGCCAGTGAGGATGTGCCCGCCGCAGATGGCAGCAGAACTGAGGACCATGGGACTGACTGCTGGCAATGGGTGCTTGTGGCAAAGCCGGGCTGCCCACACCAGGTGCGTTGAGCCAGGCTCTGGGTGTGGGGCCGCCCTTGTTTGAAGGCTGACGGATGGTATGCACAGCGCAGCGGAGCTGGAGGAGCGTCAGGTATTACCTCTGTGCTGCGCTGCATGTGTCTTCCCCCCGACGCAGGAATCTTTGGGTCCCTTACAGGACCCCTCCCGGAGGGGGGACGGGTCGTGTGCCCAATGCTGCAGTTACAAGCCGAGCTCGGGAGTTAATGTGGTCTCAGGGACGGGAGCCTGCCCCTCTGCGCTGGGATGTCAGACTGGCTGCTGCATAGCTCCAAATGCCCCTGTTAGGGAGTGAGTGGGCCACGAGCGCTGCGGCTGGAGAGAAACAGCCAGGCGCCCTCTCTGGGGCTGCAGCCAAAACCCACACCGAGAAACCCATCCCAGGCTCAGGCCACACGCTACACACGGCTTAGGCCGTTACCTCCCAGCGATGCGAGGTGTATGTTTAAATACGTGGCTACCGCCCATTGACTTCAGGGGGACTAGCACGTGCTGAATGACATTACAGCTGTGCTTTGCTGAACTGGGCCTGTAGCACCAAAGCCCTAGAAACTGCTCTGAGCACACGAACAAAGCAGCAACCCCGCTCTCTAGGTTCAGCTGCCCCTTGCGGGGATCAAACTCACAACACCCCAAGCCCCTCCCCACAGTCTGCTTGGAGCAAACACCCAGGAGCAGCACTGGGGCTCCAGCAGGGGGCACTGAGAGACCTTACGCCCTGCCACAGAGATCATGAGCCCAGAGAAACAAACCAACCAGACTAAGCTCAATGCCGTCTCTCGGGAGAGCTACTCGCAAAGCAGTGCCCGGCCATTTATCCCGCCGCCTCCCTTTCTGCTGGGCAGGGGCTGAAATGGGCCCAGGCTTTTCAAGCACATCCTGGAATTTTCTACTGACAAGTTGTTTCATTTAAAAAAAAAATCGGTTTTCAATTTTGAAAGAAGGAAGCCTCACACTCAGTCCTTCCGCCCCACGCCCAGACCCCCAGCAGGCACTAAGAGGGTGCAGTCTCAGGGTGCGGGGCCAGTACTAATCCCCGTTTTGCACTTTACTCTCCCAGGCCTGGACAATCATAGCTAGTAGCTAGCACTGAGGCACCAAATGACAACCCCAGGGAGCAATCGCTGCGCCTGATTCCAAGAACAGTGCAAAGCACCCACATTGCTGGGAACAACCAGCCAGGGTATGTTAGTGGCTAGGAGACCCCGCAAACAGGCCAGGCAGCGCTGAGCGCTGGCTAGCTGAAGAAATGCCCAGCAGCAAAACACGTCTGAATCACAAAGGTTTGTATGTTCCATCTTTTGTTCCAAACAGCTTTTATTTGGGTAGACAAGGGTGACAAAATAACGGGAGTTTACTGATTAAAAATCCCATGTGTTACATGAGCGCTTAGGCCTCATTTCAGCCAGTGTCTGACTTTAGGCACATGAGTAATCCCACTGAACTCAATGGGACTCTCCACGTTGCCTAGAGTTAGCCGCATGCCCAAGGTTCTTGCTGAACCAAGGCTAACCCAGGCGGTTGTATCCTAGTACTCACCCTGCCAAACAGAGGGATGGGGGTGCCAGGAAATCCTGGACCTAAACAAACTCAATAGCAGTAAAACTTTCCAGAGGGAAACAGAACTGAACTGTTTCAGCGACAGTGATCTACGATCGGGGAGCTGCCTGCCTGCAAACTGCCTTTCAATATTACCAGGAGAACCGGTAAGAGCCAGTTTGAAAACCACGGAGGAGCTTTCTCGGCAGAAAGTCCTAATGGGAGTTTGGTCCCATCCGAGTGGCCAGCAGCCTCCCTGTGGAGACACGTGGCTTGCGGTGAGCATGACTCTGCACTGAAGTCCAAGTCTGACGAGGGGTGGAGGTTCATTCTGGAACATCCTGCCTGACGGGGACTTCCTGATGCTAGGATGTGTGGCACCTTGGAAGGATCTCAATGGCGACCGGAGGGGGCGGGAAGAGGCAAAGGGTCACATGACCCTCCCCAAAACGCTGGGGAAGGGGGCAAGGCTGGCAGCTGGAGAGATGAAGGGGCAGGGCCAGAGCCGGAAGGGAAGAGGCGGGGCCAGAGCCTCATCTTTTCCGGCCTTCTTTTCCAGCCACATTACCTGGTGCGGCACACAGAAGCTGCACTCTCCCAGGCAGCCTCCGGCCATGCTGCCTGCCAGAGACAGCCCATAGAGAGCAGCCCCCGTGTGCCACACCACGCCGGGCAGCGTCCCAGGCAGGCAGCGTGGCTGGAAGCTGCTCGGGAGAGAGCAGCCGCTGTGTCCCGCACCATGGGGAGCGTCTCAGGCAGGCAGCGTGGCCGGAGGCTGCCCGGGAGAGAGCGTCCCCTTTAGCTGGTGCCCCCTTTGTGTCCCTCCCACTAGTCACCTCTCCGAGTTTACAGCCTAGGCCTTTGCCGTGTGTCCCCTCAGCGGCTCCCCTGGCATTTATGCCAGTTGTGTTCCCGGCGGGACACTTCCAATTTTCTTGAGATGAAGTATCCAGCTCCACAGCTTTTCTGCGCAGGTGTCAGACTTATGGGAGAGCCACTTTATGAGTGGGTAGCTGCCACCCAGTGCTGCTGCTGCCCCAATTATGAAGAGTCCTTTGTTAATCACCTGCAAGTATAAGGAGAAATTCAGCCTGGCTCAGAAGGCTTGTTTTGCCCCTAGCAGAGAGAACACACCACTTTATAATAACCCTCCTCGCCCCTGCCCTCGGGCAGGAATTACACCGCCCCCAGCATGGAGCCTTTCCCACCGACTGGGGCACTCCAGAGGAAGGCTCGACTGCTAAGCCAAGCCAGGGTGACCAGATAGCAAGTGTGAAAAATCGGGACGGGGGTGGGGGGTAATAGGAGCCCATATTAAAAGAAGCCCCAAATATCGGGCCTGTCTCTCTAAAATCGGGACATCTGGTCACCCTAAGCCAAGCTCCGAAGCCCCAGTGTGATCAGGAAACGGAGTTTGCTGAGAGGACGGAAGTCAAGCCCGGTTGGCTAAGTATCAGCACAGCATTGCAGGCCCCTCCTCTGGTCTAGAGCAGCCTCTCCAGCCACACAACTGCCAGTGGAGACATCTCAGGGGACTTGTCTTCACTCAGAAAAAGGGGCGTCCTTTGCTCAGGTTAGCTGACAGGACGGAAAGTCCTCGTGAGAACAGGGCAGTTTGTTAGCAGGTTGAAGGAAACCCTAAGCTCCCCATGGTTAAGTCAAGCTGGGGGAGGTTAGGGTTTGCCTCAACCTGCTAAATCCTGTGAAAATCACACACCACCTTATCTTGGCTAGGGTTTCCACCATCTTAGCTAACGCGAGCGGAGACACATCTTCCTTCCTTCCCAGCGAAGACGCACTGATACAGGAAGGGCTTGCTGCTCTCGGAAGCGCCTGTGGGGTTCTGAGAGGGGGCGCTCACCCCACACTGGCCCTGGAAGGGCTAAGGCAGGTTGAGAAGGGGGCTAATTAACCCAACAGGCCACAGCTGGGAGGAATCAGGTGGCTGAGTCCCGTCCCCACCCCCGGCTGAGGGTGGGAGGAAGGAGCTGGGCTGGGCTTAGAAAGGCAGGAAGGTGATAGCAGAGGGGGCTGCTGGGAAATGCCGCAGTCACTCCTGGGAGAGGGAGGAGTGTTTGGAGGTTGTGGAGACAGGTAGCCTGCAGTTGCTCCCCAGGAGGCGGGAGTGCTGGGGCTGGCACCAAATGTGAGAAGAGAGCTCAGGGAAAGGCCATGAGGTCCAGGAGGGACCAGACCTTGGCTGGTGGCTAGAGGGTCCCGGAGCCAGATCCCGGAGCAGGGGGCAGGTCCAGGTTCCTGGCCAGGCACTGAGGTGTGGCCCAGGGGGCAGTGAATGGGGAGACTGCCTGAGATTGCTAGGGAGTGAGACTCTGGTGACCCGGAAGGGGACAACGCATATAGTGAGCTGGCCGGAGGTTGCGTCACGGAGAGGCAGCAGCAGCTTGTGGAGCAAGAGAGGGCTGCATGCTGGCAGAGAGGGACAGAGTGGCATGGAACCACAGGAAGGGGCGTTGACTTGATGAGCTATTCCGCAGAGTGGCCAGGAGGAGGTGCCATCCTGGCAGTGAGCGGAGCCTCCTGTCACAGGTATTCTCCAGGGTTGGCAGATGCTAGCCATGCCGATCACTTTGTGTCACTAGCCAGAAAGGATTTTGTCAGACAGGCCACCTATGCTCGGCCCAATGACTGGCCATGGGCGGCACATGAACCGCTGGCTGGGGGAGGTTAGCCCCCAGCCCCCCCCTTCCATGCACCCCAGAACCCAGAGCCCCCCCCCACTGCGGCCGCCGGCCTCTGCCCCAGGCTGGCTAGTGCCTGCAGCCCCCACAGCCCCGGGAGGGAGAGCGCATGATGCTGCCGCAGCCCCCACAGCCCTGGGAAGGTGAGCAGCATGGCCCTGGGGCAGAATGTGGGCGGAGCCACATCTGGCTGTTTGGGGAGGCACAGCCTGCCCTACCCACTGCCCATGTGACTGGCCTAAGTTCACAGGCCAGGCAAAAGCGCTGGGGGAGGTATGCCGGGGTGGAAAGGCGTCTTTGGGGGCATGCTTGTGATAAAGTCAGACAAGGGGGACTGGGCTGAAAAGGCTGCACGCTGAAGGCCTGTATTCATGCTGGCAGGTGGGGCTTAAGCCCACAGCTACCATAGCACCAAACCCAGAGGGCAGTTTCCTGCCCGTCATTTGCTCTCTCCCAGCAAGAGGTAGAGCCGCCATGCACAAGTCAATGGTGTGGAAAGCTGAAGCATGCCACCTCCCCAGTGGCCCTTTCCCACTGTCCGTCCCGCGCCCCACCCCCCTCAGCTGTTCTGCAAGAGCATCCAGTAGAGTAAAAACAACCTGAGAATCTCCGTATCTGAAGGGCTCTTTGGCATTTTACTCAATTGTCCTCACTTGCTAGCATAATAACCCCTCCCCCATTGTCAGCAGGACTTTCAACACCACTAGCAAAGACCAGCTGAGCGAAAGGAGCACCTCCATTAGTAAGCAGCAGTAGTTGACTGTTATCCCCTAGTGCACTAGTTACTGGCGGGGGACATGATGCCCCCAGTACAAATGTGCGATGCTGAGCCATGGGGAGACACTGCAGGGAGCAGAGCTGGAATGGGGCTGAACCAGTGTCTGCTCCTTGCAGGAACCTGGGGCAAGACACGTGCTCTCTGTGCAGAGTGGCACAGCTCCCTGCATTAGGGTTCTGGGAAATGACCAATCCGCAGCCTGGGGCTGGGGGAACAGCCCGCTGAGACGGGAGCTCCACCGTGCTGCTTTCTCAGGAAGCTCTGAGCCCCTGGCCCCTACTTACTCAGTTTCGGCTCTGGCAATGCAGATTCACAGCCAGGGGTGTCTCGAGCCAAGGGCAAGCGGTGCTGCTGCCCAGGACGGCAGGCCAGCGCAGCCAGAAGGGGCTGGGAAAAGTACCTACCAGTGGCAGGGACACCTGCTTCTATCATCTGAGGAGGGCAAAGGGGGAGGGCACGAGACGCCCTGAATGTCTGGGTCAGTGAAAATTGGCTCCAATTCCCACTCACCTTGTTCTGCCATTTCCAGCGCTGCCACGCCTCGTGGTAGCGTATTCTGGTGAACGTGACCTGTGCCAGAGTGCAAAGATAGTCAGCCCTTCGGGGTGAGCAGAGACTACGCCGGGGGGGAAGGGAGAGCAGGCAGGGGACAGAGAAGAAGGCCTTACCATGGTGTATAATGGGATAATGGTGGACGGCATGAGCCAGTGAAGAAAGTTGTCCACGTACTTGCGGAAAATGAACCACTTGGAATTAACATGTGCGCGCATCTGGAACAAAGCGCTGAGTTTAAAAGGTGGTGCCTGTGGGGATTTTTACCCCCATGCTGTGGCTACTTGCTCTCATCCTCTTTGGCCACTCAGAGCTGTCACTTCCTACCACTAAGGCTAGGACCACACTGTCCAGGTCTGAGCACCCTGGCTAGCCGAGCCTGGGCGTGAGCATCCCCACAGGAAAGCCTGACTCGGATTCCTGTGGCCTCACCATTTCTGCACCTGCCTGTGTGTGTCTGAGGGCATATCCCATGGTTCTTTGCACTGAGACACCCTAGGAGTCTTTCCCTGGCAACTGCAGAAAAACTTGTCTGTGCTGTGGCAGGGGCTTGTGGGAAGGTCTGGGAGCCCCGCAGCACGCGAGTGATTTGGCCTGTGTCCTCGCTGCAAAGTGGTGGGTTCTAGCCCGAGTTAACGCAGCGCTTGACTCTAAGCCACTGCCCTCAGCCAAGCTGGGTAGCTGATGGGAACCACCTCCCAACCCAGCTCAGAGGTTTTGCTGGGTTTAAGGCAAGAAGCCAGGTTAACCATGTAGTGTAGACATGTCCTGGTAGTCACTGCCTGGAGCAGAGTCTCCCACTGTATTAGCAATTTGCACCGGGGTCAGTTTAAAGGCACTCTTAGGCCAAAGTCTCGCTGTGCTCTGCCACAAACAGATACGGGATGGGGCGAAGTGACTGACAAGTCACGAGGCCAAAACAATGTACAGATGAGAAGCGGCATGGCCCAGTGGGTAGAGCACTGGAGTGCGAGTCAGAAGAGTTGGGTGACCCTGGACAAGCCACTTCCCCGCCTGTTCCTGTTTCCCCTCCCGGCCTGTGTCTGTCTTGTCTACACAGGAAAGTTTTACCAGTTAGACCAGTACAATTATAGTTACCCCAGTATAAATCCACCACCACCTCCTCCAGTGAGGACTCCTGAGGCCAGAATAAAAGTGTCTTTTTTTTTTTTTTAATTTAGCTTAAACCCCTTCCAAAGAGACATCATTTAAACGGAAAAAAGCCCCTTCTAGACAAGAATAAAAGTGTCCCCCTGTGGGAGGGGGATTGGACCAGTATAGCTAGAGTGCTTTAAATTCACATCTTAGCTTCGACTGGCATAACTTGCCCCTGGTGTCTAGCCCCTAGCCTGCAAGCTCTTCAGAGCAGGGCCTGTCCCTCTGGGTGCGTACAGCACTTGTCCCAATCCAGAGCCTGAGCTGGTTGTGCCATCTGGGTGCTACAGGAATCCAGAGAACAGAGTCAGAGGAGGCGCTGGGAACTCAGAGCAGCACATTTGATGTCTATTTACATTAGTTAGCAGGGCTGGTCTCCACACAGGCCACGCACTGACTGAACGAAAGGGGTGACGATTTGTGGCACTTGGGCAGCCAGACATTCGGAAAGTGGTGTAAGGGAGTAACTCCAATGTGTGTGTGTGTGTGGCTGCTGGACAGGAACGGATCACACCCCTGCCTCTCCGATCCTGCCCTCAGGCCCTCGCAGTGTATGTGCGGGGGGGATTTGCACTCCTGGTCAGGTAATATGCAGTTGTAGAGTGAGGAGGGGACGGCTGCCTCCTGTAGCCAACCTTCGAGTCCTGGGCATGACCCAAAGCATCTCAGCTCTCTGGAAATCTGCCCCCCGCACCTCTCCCAGCCCCTTCCTGCACAGCTGGGGAAAGGGTGCTCTGAGCTGGGCTTGGAAACCTTAAATCTCCACTTTTCTGTTCACTTCAGCAAAGGTGCTGGGAAGTCAGGCACTGGTAAAGGGCTCCTGGGCGTGCGCGTGTGTGTGTGTGTGCGTGCGCGTGTGTTTGTGTGTGCGAGTGTGCACGCCTGTAAGAGAGTGGGGGGCAAGGGGTTTTCTTGCTGGGAGTTCTCAGATGTCAAGTCTTATTTCCCTCCCCCCAGCTCTAAGTTTGTAGTGGCAGAGGACAATATCAGAACCATGTCACTGCAACAAAACACAGACACGGGACATCTCTCTGACCACGGTAAGGGCACAGCCGACCTGCCACTTAAAACAGCATGTGCGCAGGGCCGGATTTCCAATGAGGCACAGTAGGCACGTGCCTGGGGCGCCTAAGAGTGAAAAGTTTTGTTTTTTACGGCAAACACAAGGTCAGCTGTCGGCGGGGGGGCGCGTAAGGTGTAAGTCCAGCCCTGCGTGTGTGTGCACACACATTTCAGCACAATTGGCCAGGTTACTAAAACAGCTCAGCTGCTGGAGCTCCCTTCTTCCCCCGAGGGCTTTGCCTGCGCCCAGGACTGCTCACGGGCACCTCGCGTAGAGCATCTGCACGCACAGCACTGCTCTGCTGTCTTACCTCGATGTAGTTGTACATGGCTAGATCGGAAATGGCATGGTCGTCGGGCACCCGCAGCCGGGAGAACTCGGGCAGGCAGGCACCTGGGGAAGAGGGATCAGTTCCATACCAGTTAGGCTCCAGTCTGCTCCCTGGCTCTGCCTTCTGTCCTGGTCCCTCTCCCAGCTCCTCCTGTGGGAGGGAGCGTGCCGCGTTCCAAGCCAGGGAGTGGGGCGTTCCATGGTGCATGCACTTCTCCCCAGGGCACACGGCACGAGTGCCCGTCGCTCGACTGAGCCGGCCTCTCAGGAGGTGGCTAGACCGAACGCCAGCCAAAGGAGGTTAGCTTCTGGGACTGCAACCCAACAGCTGGATCAGCTCCAGCCTCTGCCGACTGCCTGCTCCATTAGCCCTGTGGGCACTGGCTCATCCCCCGCTGCGAGCACCATGCAGTTCCCAAAGGCTAACGGGAAGCTGCTGCGGTGCTGTGCTGGTGGTGGGGAGGCTGCTGGGTCCCAGGGCTGGCACGAAGCTCTTCTCTCTGCACTGAGTCTTGTCTGGCCTTGTCTCCCCATCCCCTAGCCTGTCTTCTTGCCCTGCCTCACTTGACTTGCTTCCTGCGCCATCCAACAGACCACGCATGAGCACAGGGGATATGGGGCACGTCGGCGTCAGCAAGGAACGCAGAGTGGCTCCAAGGAAGACGTGCTGCTGCCAGTCCACCGGGGCAAGGGGAAGGGGCGATAGGAGTGAGAGGGGAGATGAACCTGGGGAAGGCTGAAGAGGGGGGAGGCTTTGGCACATCTAGCACCATGTGCCCCTTCCTGAGGATAATTAGATACCCCAGGAGCCTCCTGGCCAAATGGTTAATTCCTGACTGTCCCTCACAGTAAGTGTCTCCCTTGATCTTCTGGGTAGGTCAGGGGCCATCCCTGGGAGCACCCATTTGGTGACTGATGTCAGATCAAACTGCCCGGAGTTCCCACCCAGGTCTGTTTGCCAGGCCAGGGATTTACTCACTGAGATCATTGTGGAACTGGTCCATTAACTCATCGAAGACCAGGCAGTCTTCAAATCCCTGGAAGACACAATAAAGGGAAAATAGCTGGCAGCAAAAGCCTGATTGCTCCTAAACTGGGGTTGGCAGGCAGGGGGCAGGCAGGGGCACTGGCCTGGGCTAGACCTGCTGCCCGGGCTAAACAGGTTTAGTGGCTGCTCAGGGTACGTCTACACAGCAAAAAAAAAACCCCACGGCAGCGAGTCTCAGAGCCTGGTCCACTGGCTTAGACTCACGGGGCTTGTGCTGCAGGGTTAAAAATAGCAGTGTAGATGTGTGGGCTTGGGCTGGAGCCCAGGGCCTGAAACCCGCCCCCCTCACCCAATATCAGAGCCCGGACTCCACCCCGAGGCCAGACGTCTACACTGTTCTTTCTAGCCCCCAGGGCAAGCCCCGTGAGCCAGAGTCGCTTAGCCTGGGCTCTGAGACGCGTGGCCGCAGTTCTGAGGGGAGGTGGGGAGCTGGCTGGGTAGAGGGACCTTAATGGCCTGGGGCAGCAGCAGGGGGCTCTGAACCTGCTCTCTGGCTGGCCCCTCCCTTTCTCAGAGGAGGAGGGATGAGCCTGGCTCCAAAGGAGGTTGATGCCGATGCAGGGTGCTGCAGGACCAGTGGGGACGAGCTGATGCATCCCCTACACCCTGGGCAGGAAAGAGAGGTCAAGAAAATCCTCCCTAAGACTTTTTGGAGGAAGAGACCCAGCCCTGCCCTCCTGGAGGGAATCCCAGCCACAGGGACAGCGCCCGCTCCCCTTCCTTTGGCCCGGGGAGGGAGAAGAACCAAGAGAAGGTTGAAGACAGGGGGCAAGGCAAAGAGAGAGCTGGGGAGAGTGGGGCACCTAGGACCCAGGGGTAGAGGAAGAAAGCGAGGGCAGCTCTGGGAGTGAGAGAGATGCCAGAGAGAGACTCGAATATATTTTTCTATACAAAACCCACTGTGTTAAGACTGGTCGATGGGTCGCACTGGAAAGTCAGGACTAGGCACGTGCAGCCTTAGCCCTGTCCCTGGTGCGGATGTGTTCCAGGACAGGGATTACTGCACTATTTCCCCCAGAGTTGCTAAGCACCCACAACGCCCATTAGCTGCAGTGAGAGCACCTTTGAAAATCAACCACTTTTACTGTGGTCCCTACTGTGATGGAGCCAAATCTGAGCCGTTCATCTCTGTGCTTCAGTTTCCTCCGATGTAGAGAGCGGGGGTAGCCCATCTACTGCCCAAAGTGACAGTGACGTGGTTAAGGGCTACACAGCATCCTAAACGGCACCAGAATAAACACACACAACTTTCCCGGGCTGGGATCCCGCAGCCTTGTGGCTCCCGCTTCTTTGAGCAGCCCTCGCTTGTATAAATGCAGTGTGTACAGACGCCTGCATGAACAGCTGGGCTCCATTGCTGCAGTGGGACAGGGGGGAGGATAGGACCTAAAGATTCCCTTCCCTCCCTCCTATGCCCACCCACACAGAGCAAGATAACTTTGGGGAAGGTCCAAAGAATCACCCCATTATCGCCCCTCCCCCCCAGCGCCTCTGCTCAGCGCTCTGTTGGGGTGTGTTCTTGGTGGACAGAAGTCCCTTACTACCGTATGGAGGGAGGGATGTGGCACACAATTGTGGGGCAGACCCACTCAAAAATGCAACACCCCTGAGCACACAGACAGCTCCCCTTTGCTCCACCTGCAGCTCCCAAGGGACCTCAGTGCATAGCCATCGCCCCCAGGGACCCAGGCTGGCGCAGTGCAAGGCAGACATGTGACAGAGGGCAGTTTCCTGCAACTCCTGTGCAGGACAAACTATGCTGAATGAAGTTCAACTATATTGAATGAAGTTTATATATCATTGTGGGCCAGAGATTGTATGTAATTCTCTTGGGGAGGGGGACCACACCCCTCCCGGGACTAAGAACTGTGAGGGGGTGGGGTTAGGAAAATTCATTCAGGTTGTCAAACCTCCACAGAGCTCCCACCGCCTGGAGAGAGACTCAAATAGACTGGTTCAGACTGGATTCTCCAGGGACCAACAGGCAGAGAAAGGACTTTCAGTTAAACAGCTCGAGTTAAAACTGACTCTGATCATAGAAGAATCATAGAATATTAGGGTTGGAGGAGACCTCAGGAGGTCATCTAGTCCAAGCCCCTGCTCAAAGCAGGACCAACCCCAACTAAATCATCCCAGCCAGGGCTTTGTCAAGCCTGACCTTAAAAACCTCTAAGGATGGAGATTCCACCACCTCCCTAGGTAACGCATTCTAGTGCTTCACCACCCTCCTCGTGAAATAGTGTTTCCTAATATCCAACCTAGACCTCCCCCACTGCAACTTGAGACCGTTACTCCTTGTTCTGTCCTCTGCTACCACTGAGAACAGCCGAGCTCCATCCTCTTTGGAACCCCGCTTCAGGTAGTTGAAGGCTGCTATCTAATCTCCCCTCACTCTTTTCTTCTGCAGACTAAATGAGCCCAGTTCCCTCAGTCTCTCCTCATAAGTCATGTGCCCCAGCCCCCTAATCATTTCTGTCGCCCTCTGCTGGACTCTCTCCAATTTGTCCACATCCTTTCTGTAGCGGGGGGCCCAAAACTGGACACAATACTCCAGATGTGGCCTCACCAGTGCTGAATAGAGGGGAATGATCACTTCCTTCGATCTGCTGGCAATGCTCCTACTAATATAGCCCAATATGCCGTTAGCCTTCTTGGCAACAAGGGCACACTGCTGACTCATATTCAGCTTCTCGTCCACTGTAATCCCCAGGTCCTTTTCTGCACAACTGCCGCTTAGCCAGTCGGTCCCCAGCCTGTAGCAGTGCATGGGATTCTTCCGTGCAAATAGACAAGATCTCTGGCCCAAGGGGGGGTCCCAATCCTTGGGGAAGGGTAGGAAGGACTTCTGCCCCATAAAACTGGGTGTTCAGGTTCTGAGCAAAAGGCACTATGAACTTGTAACCACAGGAAAACCCCTGGGGAGGTAGTAAGGACTGTTCACCATCCAGAGCCCTTGTTGGAGTCAGGGGGTGATCTCTGGTTGGCTTATTACCATGTGTGTAGGGGCTTCTATTGTTTCAATATATTTTCTCTGTAATGGTTTTACCTTAAGAATAAAGGTGCTTGCTTAGAAAGAGCTATGCGGTAACTGAACTGGGGCCATTACACTGTTTCCCACCTCTGAGGAGAAAAGGAAGGGGAATTCACAGTGCAGGCAGGGAGCAGGCACCTGGAACTACCCTGCTCAGGAGGGAGAGAGACAGGGGTCTCCATGCAAGAGAGGCAACAGCAGATGTCTAAGAGTGGTGCGCTGGCTGGCTCAGAGAGGGGAATTTCAGGTGCAGTTGCCCTGCACCGTGACAGTCTATCTGAAACGGGAAGATGTAGCTTCTGGCCTGAGCATGCATGATCAAATGCATTTTCCTACACCGCTATCTGGACATCCAGCAGCAGCTGAAGACACAGGCGCCTCGCTCTAAAGACTTGCGTGACTCTATGGGGAGCAGAAAGACCCAACCCACTTCACACAGGTCCCTTCAGCCTATCAGGGAATCTCAGTCTTGTGTGGATCCAGCCAACTCCTCCTCCTCCTCCAAGCCTCAAACCCGGCAAGACCCAGGGCCAGCCAATCAATTGTGCAAGCAAATGGAACCAACTGGAGCTAAATGTCTGAACTCAAAAGCAATGGCTTTTTGGTCACAAATGATGCAGGACATTAGGAACTGCAAACTCACAGCATTCATGCCTTGCCCATAGAATGGTACCACAGCGTGGGCGGCGTCTCCCATCAGCACACACCGGGAGGCGATGTGGTATGAAGAGCACTTCACAGAGATCATGGCCTGGGGTGGCAGCAAAAAGTAATCACGCTGCAGCTCTCGCCTTCAGCCAAAACAACAGACAGTTTGCATGAAATGTGTGATGTCATCATTGGAGACAAGCGAATCAGTCATCAGTGTAATATGTAATGTGCCAGGATGCGAAATCAAACCTTTACATTGGGGTACTTGTGCTGAAAGTTGTGGGAAACCCGAATAGCTAGATCATTAACTTCAACCCAGGGGATTAAGCTGCCGCATGCCGCAGAATGTAATGGTAATTTCATGGAGCTATAGACTGCTATTACTATACAGCTAGATAGTCATATTGAACACTATCCCTCATGTCTGTGGTCCTGCTTACACTGCATCCTCTTACAGCAGTGGGATCCAACCTTTTTAAGCACAAGATCACTTTTGAATTAAGAGCAACCCAGGATCCACCCCCACCCTTCCTTGAGGCCCCACCCCCTCCCCGAGGCCCTGCCCTGCTCACTCCAGCCCCCCTCCCTCACTTTCCCTCCCCCACACTCTCATCGGGCTGGGGCAGGGGGTGGCGGTGTGGGCTATGGGCTGAGGCCGAGGGGTTCGGAGTGTGGGAGGGGGCTCTGGGTTGAGCCTGGGGCAGGGGTTGGGGTGCAGGAGGGGGTTCAGAGTGCAGGAGGAGATACTGGGGGTTCAGGGATGGGGGTTGGGGTGCAGGAGGGGTGCAGGCTCTCGCCGGGCGGCGCTTACCTGGACAGCTCCCGGGCAGCATCGCAGCAGGGCTAAGGCAGGCTCTCTGCCTGTCCCAGCCCCGCGCCACTCCCAGAAGCTGCCGCCACATACCTGCAGCCTCTGGGGGGGGGGCACGTGGCTCCGCGCGCTGCCCCTTCCTGCAGACACCACCCCCACAGCTCCCGTTGGCTGCAGTTCCCAGCTCCCAGCCAATGAGAGCTGCGAGGGAGGTGCTTGCAGGCAAGAGCGGTGTGCAAAGACCCCACCCCCACGCAGGGATGTGCCAGCTGCTTCCGGGAGTGGCATGGGGGCACCGGCCTTTTAGTGGCCGGAGATTGCGATCGACTGGCAGAGGCTCCGTGATTGACCCATCGATCGCAATCTACCGGTTGGTGACCACTGCCTTACAGGGCCCTTCCCATCTCTATTCAGCAAAGTACTTAAGCACATGCTTCAATCCCATTCACTTCAACGGGATGTACTTAAGTGCTTTGCTGAGTAAGAATGGATTTCAGTCCGTTTACATGCTTTGCCTGTGCCTTTTGAAGCCCCACTGCAATCCACAAAACTCCCACTCAGCTGCCGCCAAACCTGGTAGGCTCCTAAACTCACTCAGTGCCTTCGTGTTTGCAGTAAGAGTTCCTTAGGGGCCTGTGTGTCTGCCTCTGAGCATGTGCATGGCGGTCTCCCTCTGGGCATCCCTCTCCCACCTAAGCCCCAGTGCAAACTACAGAGTAGGGGAACACAGGCATTTGGCCACCTAACTCCTGGGTTGGGCCCGATCTGGTAGGCATGCTCAGAGGCTGCCTAGACCTACATAAAGCAGCCCCAGAGGATGGGGAACCTCGCTTATAACCCAGGGGTCATGATACTCTCCCTGGATGGGAGACCCCAGGGCAAGCCCCCCTCTGTCTGATGAAGAGCTGGGATGTGCCAGCTTTCAGGTGAGTGCCCTAACCACTGGCCTATAGACTATTCCAATGCCCTCGAGCTCCCCTATAGAAGTTATTCCACTTGAATGAAAGATAAATTGGGCCAGAGCTAGAATGACTCTATGGCCCACTGGTTAGGCATGCACCTGGGAGGTGGCAGATCCCTGTTCAGCTGCCCTCTCCTCAGCAGGTAGAGCAGGGACTTGAACTGGGGGGTCTCCCAGCTCCTGGGTGAATGCACTAACCGCTGCACTAAAGGTTATGCAGGAGCATCACCGCCTGCCTCTCGGCTTGTGTGAAGTTAGGCAGCCTCTGTGCATGCCTACCAGCTTAGGACCCGCACGCGAGTTAAGAAAATAAGACTGGCCATACTGGGTCAGACAAGGTCCATCTAGCCCAATATCCTGTCTTCTGACAGTGGCCAGTGCCAGGTGCTTGAGAGGGAATGAACAGAACAGGCAATCATCAAGTGATCCATCCCCTGTCCCTCATTCCCAGCTTCTGGTAAATAGAGGTTAGGGATCCCTTGCCTACCCATCCTGGCTAATACCCATTGATGGATCTATTCTCCATGAATTTATCTAGTTCTTTTTTTTAACCCTGTTATAGTCTTGGCCTTCACAACATCCTCTAGCAAAGAGTTCCACGGTTGAATGTGTGTTGTATGAAGAAATACTTCCTTTTGTTTTACACCTGCTGCCTATTAATTTCATTTGATGACCCCTAGTTCTTGTGTTATGAGAAGGAATAAATAACATTTCCTTATTTACTTTCTTCACACCAGTCATGATTTTATAGACCTCTATCATAACTCCCCTTCGTCGTTTCTTTTCCAAGCTGAAAAGTCTCAATCTTATTAATTTCTCCTCATATGAAAGCTGTTCCATAACCCTAAGCATTTTTATTGCCCTTTTCTGTACCTTTTCCAATTCCAATATATATTTTTGAGATGCAGGGCCGGCTCCAGGGTTTTGGCCGCCCCAAGCAGCCAAAACCAAAACCAAAAAAAAAAAAAAAAAAAA